ATTAGAATTTTTGAGCAAGTCTAAACCAGAGTGGATTTAGGGAGGGGGGGGGGGGAGCCAGTGACTTTATTTGGACCTCCAGAAGTCATTCAACAAAGTACCTCACAAAAGGTTAAGTCATAATATAACATTCTATGGTGTGAGTGTAAGGGGTATTATGTTGGCGTGGATAGAAAATTGGCTAATGGGCAGAAACAGCGAGTGGGCATAAGGGATCCTTTTTCAAGTTGACAACTTGTGAACAGTGCGGCTCCATGAGGATCAGTGCTGGGACTGCAACTGTTTACAAGATACATTAATTGCTTGGAGAAAGGAAGGAAGCAAATGTACTGCTGCAGAATTTGTATACGACACAAAAATAGGTAGAAGGCAGGTTGTGAGAGGATACAAACAGTTTACAGAAGGAAAACTGCAGAAAGCTGCAACATAAAGGAACTTGGGGGTACTTGTGCACGAAACACAGAAAGCTAGCACACTGTTGCAGGACGTTACCAGGAAGGCTAATGGAACTTTGGCCCTTATATCAAGGGGTTTTGACTTTTAGAGTAGGAAAGTCTCACTGCAACTGTACGAGGTGCTGGTGAGACCACATCTGAATACTATGAGCAGTTTGGGTCCCCTTATTTAAGGAAAGATATTACTTCATTGGAAGCAATTCAGAGAAGTTCCATTAGGATGATTCCTTACAGGGCAGCAAAGGTTAAACAGATTGGGACACAACTGATTAGAACTTAGAAGAATGACAGGTGATCTCATTGAAATACATAGGATTCATAAGGGGCAGGGTAAATATTGACACAATGATTTCCTCATGGGACAACCTATGACCAGAGGGAATAGTTTCAAAATTAAGAGGCATTAATTTAAGACTCAGATAAGGATGAATTTTTTTTTCTCGGAAGGAGGAATTCTTTTTCTGAGTGTCTTTGGAGCTCCTTACCACAGGTAGAGTTGTTGTGTCTATTTAAGGCTGAGACAGATAGATTCAAGGTCAGTAGGGAAATCAAGAGTAAGAAGAAAAGGCAGGGAAGTGGGAGCCAGGTATGTTGGTTTAGCCTTGATCTTTTTGAATGACTGAGCAAGCTTGAGGGGCAAAACAACCTACTCTTGTCCCTATTTCCCATGGTCTTATGTTCTTATTGTTACTTTGGGGCTCTTCAACTGAAACAAATAGAACACCGTTTGGAGAAAAAGCCTCTGATTCAATTTTGTAATGGTGAATTGTCCACTTCATAAAATAAAACAAAGAACTGTAGATGCTAAAAATCTGAAAACAAAAACAGAAATTGTTGGAGACACTCAGTAGGTGTGGCAGCATTTCTGGGGAGAAGGCAGAAGGGTCACTGGACTCAAAATGTTAACTCTGCTTTCGCTCCACAAATGCTGCCAGACTTGCCGAGTTTCTCCAGCAATTTCTGTTTTTGTTGTCCATATCACACGCTCCTTTAACGTAAACATGTCCATCACCTATACACATTCATGTGGACATATAATTTGAAAGAGACAGAATTAACTGGTCAGTCTTTAACAAAACTAAGATCACCGCAATAAATGAAATTATACTGAAGTTTAGAAAACAAATTTGTACACTAATCACATACACTGCCTCAGCTATCTACCTCCACCATTCTACCAGTTGTTGCACATCTGACAGATTTCTGGTATTGTGCTTACAAATTTCCACCACAATTAAACATCATTGAAAAAGAGAAAAAAAATGTAGGCTCTAATCTAGAGAGAAAGCTTCCCAAAATCAAAGAAAAACAGCTCCACAGCCTTCAGTTTGATCTAATAATTAAACTTTGAGGTCTTACAGGAATAATTCAGGTTACATAGTAGTGCCTTTAGTAGCAGAATAGTACACTATGCTTTAAATAGTTTCAGGAACAGGAGTGGACTATTCCACCTCAAACCTGTGCCACCATTCAACTAATTCATGGCAGAACTGTATCTCAGTTCTATTTGATCCATATCACTTGATACATATATCAAATAAAAAACTATTCATCACTGTCCTGTAAGTTTTATTTGGCCTACTGCATCCACAGCCTTTGGAGGAGAGCATTCCACATTTCAAAAACTTTTGTATAAAACCTTGATTGGCCTGAATGTGGAACACAGAATTGGACATTTACGAGTGTGGTTACAAAATCAAAAATATTGCAAATTGGGAGCTCAATCAAGCACTTGCTAGTGTCAACAGAATGTGGAGCTGGAGGAACACAGCAAGTCAGGTAGCATCAGAGGAGCAGGAAAGACGACATTTCGGAACAGGACCCTTCATCAGGACTGGGGAGAGGGAAAGGAGCTGGGAAATAAACAGAGAGAGGAGGCGTGGGGCTGGGGGAAGGTAAGTGGGATGGCGATGCAGGTAGGGGGTACTGGCGATTGGTCAGTGGAATGGGTGGGACAGACAGATGGGGAAGATGATGGACAGGTTGTGTCAGGTCAAGGAGGCGGGGATGAGAGGGATGGTTGGACATGGGATGAGGCAGGGGGTGGGGAGCTATTGAAACTGGTGAATTCTATGTTCAGGCCATCAGGATGTAGGTTCCTGAGGTGGAATATGAGGTGCTGTTCCTTTGGTTTGCTTGTGGCATCATTGTGATACTGGAGGAGGCCCAGGATGGACATGTCACCAATGGGAGTGGGAAGAGGAGTTAAAATGGTTGGCAACCAGAAGGTGTTGTTGATTATCATGTACAGAGCACAGGTGCTCCACAAATCAGTCACTGAGTCTGCACTTGGTCTCACTGGTGTAGAGAAGGCCACATCGTGAGCAACGGATACAGTAGACCAAGTTGGAGGATGTACAGATGAATCCTTGTTGGATATGGAAAGTTTGTCTTAGGCCTAGGATGGAGGTGAGGGGGGAGGTGTAGTGGCAGGTGTAGCACTTCCTGCGAATGCAGGGATAGGTGCCGGGTGTGGTGGGAGTTGGTGGGGAATGTAGAGCGGAAGACGGAGTCGCAGAGTGAGCAGGCCTTACAAAAGGCAAATAGGGGTGGGGAGGGAAGTATATCTTTGGTTGTAGGGTTGAACTGTAGGTGGCGGAAATGGCAGAGAATGATATGCTGGATGTGGAGGTTGGTGGGTGGTATGTGGAGACCAGGGGGTTTCTGTCTTTATTTTTGTTGCGGGGAGGGGGTTTGAGCGCAGAGGTGCGGGAAATGCAAGAGATGCAATTGACGGCATTTTCGATCAACGGAGAAGGGAAGTTGTTGTCCTTGAAATAGGAGGACATCCAGGACGTCCAGGAGTGGAACGCTCCAGCTTGGGAGCAGATGCGGCAGAGGCAGAGGAATTGTGAGTAAGAGATCGCAATCTTGAATGAAAGTGGGTGAGAGGAGAGGTAGTCCAGGTAGCTATGGGAGTTGGTGGATTTGAAATAGATGTCAGGAGTGAGACGGTTACCGGATATGGAGACAGAGTGGTCCAGGAAGGGGAGGGAAGTATCGGAGATGGTCCAGGTGAATTTGAGGTTGGGGTGAAAGGTGTTAGCAAAGTTGATGAGCTGTTCAAGCTCCTCATGGGAGCATGAGGCAGCACTGATAGAGTCATCGACGTAGGGGAGGAAGAGGTGAGGGATGGTGCCAGTGTAACAGTGGAAGAGGGACTGTTCCACGTATCCTACAAAGGGACAGGCACAGCTTGGGCCCATACAGGTGCGCACCGCCACCCCTTTAGTCTGTAGGAATTGGGAGGAATTAAAGGAAAAGTTGTTGAGGGTAAGGACAAGTTCCATTAAGCGGATAAGGATGTCAGTGGAGGGGGACTGGTTGGGCCTGCAGGAGAGGATGAAGTGGAGGGCTTTTAGGCCATTTGCATGGGGAATACAAGTGTACAGGGACTGGATGTCCATGGTGAAGATGAGGTTTTGAGGTCCGGGGAATTGGAAGTCCTGGAGGAGGTGGAGGGCATGAGTAGTGTCCTGAATGTAGGTGGGGCGTTCCTGGACTGGGGGGAAAAGACAGAGTCAAGGTAAGCGGAGATAAGTTCAGTGGGACAGGAGTAGGCAGAGACAATGGGTCGACCGGCGCAGTCAGATTCATGGATTTTGAGAAGGACATTGAAACAGGCAGTGCGGGGTTGGGGAACAATGAGGTTGGAGGCTGTGGGTGGGAGGTCTCCTGAGGTGATAAGATTATGAATGGTCTGAGAGACGATGGTTTGGCAATCAGGGATAGGGTCATACTCAAGGGGCCGGTAGGAGGAGGTGTCAGAGAGTTGGCACCTGGCCTTAGCGATGTAGAGGTCAGTGCACCATACCATTACCGCAGGCCCTACCCCCCCTTTTATCTACAGGTTTGATGGTGAGGTCGGGATCGGAGCAGAGGGCTGCGCATTCCGTTGGGGAGAGGTTGGAGTGAGTGAGAGGGGTGGAGAGACTGAGGCCATTGATGTCTTGATGGCAGTTGGAAATGAAGAGGTCGAGGGAAGGTAGGAGGCCGTGGTGTGGTGTCCAGGAGGATGGGGTTTGTTGGAGGTGGCAGAAGGGGGTCTGTAGAAGGTGGGTTAGACTCCTGGTCAAAGAACTAGGCATGGAGGCGGAGGTGGCAGAAAAAGAGTTCAACATCCAGACATGTATGGAATTCGTTGATGTGTGGGTACAGGGGAATGAATGTGAGACCTTTGCTGAGGACTGACCATTTGTCCTCAGTGAGGGGGAGGTCTGAGGAAATGGTAAATACCATTGGCTGGGAGTGGGGTGCAGACTGTCTCAGGAGCGCGGGTGTGTAACGTACATTACCATCATAGGTTATAAAGTAGGTTATCTTGCTATTTGAGGTTTTATCTATGTTTACAATTAAATGAAGGTTCATGGAAGGGAAGAAGAAACTGTACAAGTTCTCTACACAAACACCATGAAAAAATACTACAGAAAAAGCTTAAAGGAGGAATTTGAAAATGTAAGATCAAGTTCTTTAAATTCAAGGTCAGGTTTTAATCAATGTATATTCTTTAGAAGCAAATTTTTTATTTCAAGAACTTCTACTCACCTACAGTATCACAAGGTTCATCTTTATGTACACAGAAATCGGTCCTGAAAATAGATGGGAAGAGGGAATAACTTTCTAGAGATAAAGCTTTCATACATCCCTGACACAACTAGATAACATAAGTCCACACTGGATGATGGATTGTTAAATAATGGATTGAAAGTATGATGAAAACAGTTAATTCCCCCACCAATGATCTTAGTCTGGGCATTCGTGGGCACAAATTGGCAGGCTAGTGTTGGCTGGTGTCAGCGGATTGCAAAGAAGGTCCAGCTAATTGTTTTGGTTGTTTACGGACCATTGTCTTTTTAGTTGTTGTAGATTTAAACAAATCCAACCCACTTCCCCAAATAGAGACAAAAATGTCCTTGAAACCAACAGGATGCACTGTAAAGGATAATATTATGATCTAACATTTAAAAGCAATGAAAAAGACTGCTTACAGTGGAATCTTCACAAACCACCAAAAGCGACACCTCTTTAAAGCCTTAAACAACTTGTATTATACAATCCCTTTAAAATAATAAAATGTCTGATGCAGAATACAGCATTAACGTCAGTAGAAGGATCACACAAATAGTACAAACCAGGCAGTCGGATGACGTGCAATTATGCGGATATTAGTGGATTAACGAGCCACATGGGTGTTAGTAGCCTGCACACTAGAATACCGTCTCATATCTGTGTCCTTCAAAATGTCCTATAAGGTGAAATACATCATAAAAATTAATATAGAGGAAAAGCAAAACAAAGGATTTTTGTGACCTAATTTTTGTTTAATTTTGTATTGATTTAATTGATTTCTGAGTAGGATGTTGACTGCAAAATCCACCAACTTTACTCTAACATCTTCAGAAGATAGGTGGGCAACTGAGGTTTATGACATAAGTCACCTAGAATGGGAGTGTCACAAAGGTAAATTTTGACAAGTATTTTCTTAAATTGATATTAGACTTTGTGCTTCCAGAAGTTTGGACAGCTACTCTAATGGGCTTCAAGATGGATGTGTGTGCCAGGTTGAATCAAAGTCTGCATGTTGATAGTTCTAAGCCACATAACAGTTACAATCTCAGCAGCTACTAATATCCTGCCCCATGGTATAATCATAGAAATCTACAGTACAGAAAAAGGCCCTTCAGCCATCACTTCCACGCCAGTCAAAAACAACCAGTCAGCTATTCTCATCCCATTTCCAAATTGTTGCAATTTGGAAGGTGCTGTCTAAGGGGCCTTGCTAATTTGTTGCTGTGCTTCTTGTAGGGATACACAGTGCTACTACTATGCATTGGTGGCAGATGGAGTGAACATAAACTATAATTCGCACATTGAAAACTATTTGCAACAAAGACATATCTTACAAACTGACTCCGAAATCCAATGAGTATATGTGTCGTTAAGCTAAGTCACAAAGTCCTTCAAAACTCTTCTTCAGGAAGCATTTAAGCTCCTCTTTTTCTAGGGTTTGCCCCGATCACCAGCCAGTATAGAGTCATAGTATTCCACAGCACAGATAAAGGCTCTTTGTTCCATCTTCTCCACACTGGGCAAAACCACCTAACAATTCTAATCAAATTTTCCAACACTTGGCCCTTAGCTTGTATGCCTTGGCATCATAAGTGCACATCTAAATACTTATTAAATGTTGAGGGTTTCTGTCTCTGTCACCCTTACAGACAGTGAATTCCAGATTCCCACCACCCTCTGGGTGAAAAAGATTTTCCTCACATCTACACTAAACCTACTGCCCCTTGCTTTAAATCTATGCACCCAGATCATTGATCCCTCCAGCAAGGGGAGAAGTTTCTTCTTGTTTACTCTATCTGTGCCCCTTATAATTTTATAATCTCAAACATGTCCCTCTCATGCTCCAAGGAAAGCAAGCCCAGTCTGTCCAATCTCTCTTCATGACTGAAACACTCTAGCCCAGGGATCATCCTGGTAAATCTCCTCTGCACTCCTCCAGTGCTATCACATCCAACCTAGAATATGGATTCCAGAATATCACACAAGAGTTGTAGCCTAACCAACATTTCATGTAGTTCCAACATAACCTCTTTACTCTAAAAACTCTACGCCTCAGCTAATAAAGGCAAGAATGTCATATACCTTCTTAACCACTTTATCCAACTGTCTTGACACCCTAAGGGACTAGTGTACATGCACACCAAGTCCCCTCTGAGCCTTGGTGTTTCCCACATTCGGACTGTTCATCATGTATTTCTTTGCCTTGTTTGTCCTACCCATGTGCATCACCTTACATTTATCTGGATTGAATTCCATTTGTCACTGATCAGCCCACCTGACCAGCCAATTCATAACCTCCTGTAGCAGGTATCTTCCAACAGCAGCACACAATCAACTTGATCTTGGTGGTATGGCCTCCACAAAAAAGGACACATCCACTGAACCTCCTCAACTCTGGTTAAAAACTCTGGATGGTGTACTTTCACCAATGTTACCTTCAAAAAACAGAAAAAAAAACTGCAACAACTATATCATAGCTTATTCTCAGTTGAACCCACCTAAGCTACAACACTGGAAAAATATGGCATTTATAGGATTTCAACCAGTTTCTTGTACTCCAGAACTAGCCACGCCACAGTTAAGCTATTCTAGTATAGCTACAACATTGACATCAACCGACAATATGGAAAATTGCCCAGGTATGTCTGGCCACAAAAAGCAGGTCAAATCCAACACAGCCAACTACCACCTTAGCAGTCTACTCTCTATCATCAGAGTGCTACTGAGCAGCTACAGAAACAGTACTATTGAGTAACACGAGCAAAAGAATAACTTGTTCGCTGACACTCAATTTGGGTTCGGCTTGGTTTGCTTAAACTCTGACCTTACTAGAGCACTGGTTAAAATATAAACAAACAACCTGAACTCCATAGGTGAGGTAAAAGTGACTGCCCTTTTCATCAACCTCAGCATTTGATTAGGTATGGCATCAAGGATTCCTAGCAAAAGTGAGAATTTGAGAATCAAGGGGAGTCCACCAGATGTTACTGGGCAATTTTCCACATTGTCCGTTGATGTCAATGTTGTAGCTATACCGGTATAGCTGAACTGGAACGTGGCTAGTTCTGGAGTTATACTTGGCATAAGGTAAAATGTTGTGGTTGTTGACAGTCAATTATCTCCATCCAAGCAGATCGCTGCGGGAATTCCTCAGTCCTAGATACAACCATATTCAACCTCTTCAATGACCTTCCCTCCACCATGAGGTCACAAGTGGAGATGCTCATTGATAATTGCACAATGTTTTAATAAGTGGCAAACTCTACACATGCCAGGCAATGACTGACTCCAACAACTCTTATGATTGCCCTTGATGCTCAATGGCATTGCCATCACTGAACTCCCTGACATAAACACCCTGGGATTATCATTGACCAAGACTGGACTGAACCACCCATTAAATAAATTGTGCCTATAAGGGTAGGTCAGAGACTAGGAATTCCAGTGCATAACTCACCTCCTGACTCACCAATATATATCCACCACTTACGAGGTGTAAGTCAGGAATGGTATGGAATATTCTCCAATTAGCTGTGTAGGTGCAGCTATAACAACACTAAAGTAAATTAAAACCATCCAGCACAAGACAGCTTGCTTGATTGGCAACAGATCCACCAACTTCAACATTCATTCATTACACCAGTCAAGCAAAGTGGCAGCAGTATGTACCATCCAAAGGTGTGCTGCAAGAACATAGGCAGGAAGAGGGATGAGATCCCGAAAGCAGATTTCAGGGAGTTAGGAAGAAAATTTAAAAAGCAGGACCTCAAATGCAGCAATCTCAGGATTACTCCCAGTGTTACATGCAAGTGAGAATAAGAACAGGAAGATTGAGAACTGGCGTGGTGGGGGGGGAGGCATCAAATTTCTGAGGAATTGGAACCGTTTCTGGTGCAGCTGGACGGGTTACACCTTAGTGCGATTGAGACTGATCACTTTGCAGGGACATTTGCTCGTGCTGTTGGGGCAGGTTTAAACTAGCTTGTTGGGAGTTGCAGAAACCCAAGGGATAAGCCAACTAATAATGTTGTTAACAAGAAGTCAAAAAGAAGCAAGGATGAATAGAAAGTCAAGCATCAAGTACACTTCAAAAGTAGAATTGTGGCATAAAGAAAAATTAATATTAATTTACCCGAATGCATGCAACATTCGCAAGTAGGTATGTGTCAAGAAGGTCAAGCAGGCGAAAGGGATGGTTTCAGTACATTAGTAATGGGCAATCTCAGATCAGAAGAACAATACTTGGAATCTGTTTGAATGGAGCTAAAAAAACAGCAAACGGCAGCAGATTCTGGTCAGAGTTATTTATAAGCCACCACATAATGGTGGTAGTGTGAGGCATGATGTTGATCAGGAGATTAGAGAAATATCTAGTCTGAGCAAAATAGTTATCTCAGGTGATGTCAATCTGCCTATCGACTAGGTAAACTAGTTGAGCACTAAGCTATGGAAGATGGGTTTCTGAAGTGTGATCAGGGTGGTTTCTAAAGCATTATGTTGAGGAGCCAACATAATGGTCATGCTATAAAGTTTAGCACTATGTAATGAAAATGATTAATTAACAAACTTCTTGTCAAAAAAACCTTTAGGATAAATGACCCACTGTGGTAGAATTTTACATTATGTTTGAAAGTGAGGTAGTTCAATCTGAAGCAAGGGTGTTAAGTTCAGGAGTGTATAAGGTTAAAAGAAAATGCCTATAAAGTTGTCAGAAAAGTTTTTAAAATACAACAAGGATGACTCAGGAACTGAAAAGCAAAGGGAGAATAGAATATGAATGCAATCTGGCAAAACATGGAAACAGACTGTAAAAGCTTCTAAAGATACAGAAAAAGGAAACATTTGACTAAAACAAATGTGGGTCTAATACAGACAGAGTCAGGAGACGAGGTGATTGCGTAGTGCTATTGTCACTAATCCAGAAACTTAGGAAATGTCCATCGGAAATGGGTTCAAATCTCATATGGAAGACGGCGGAATTTGTTTTCCATAAGAATCTTGAATTAATAGTTTAATAATA